TCCTCCTCCTCCTCCTCTCCTCCTCCTCCTCCTCCTCCTCCTCCTCCTCCTCCTCCTCCTCCTCCTCCTCCTCCTCCTCCTCCTCCTCCTCCTCCTCCTCTTCCTTACTACAAACCCCTTGGTACGCTGGGCTCCTCCTCCTCCTCTTCCTCCTCTTCCATTCACGTCCTCATCCTCATCCACAGGGACCCCGTCATCCCCCCCTACTCCGCATCCACGTGGGCCTCCAGCCGCGCTGTAGCCACCAGAATCGAGGCCTGAGCAGGGGTAGAGGACACCGCCCGCCCACAGGAAAAAACTGTTCCTCCTCCTCCTCCTCCTCCTCCTCCTCCTCCACCCCCTTCTCCATGATCCTCCTCCTCGTCCTCCTCATCCTTCTCCTCCTCCTTCTCGTTTTCCTTCTCCTCGTCCTTTGTCCTTGTTTCTCATCCTTGTTTTTTTTTCTCCACCTCGTTCCCTCATAAGCAATTCTTCCCTGTCGCACCCACAGACGTGTCGGTAGGCGTTTTGCTCTTTTTTTCCACCACGTATGATCTTGAAATTTGGAAGTTATTTGCAGCAGTTTCTCGGATTGGTGGTTTTCAAAATGTGGTTCTCGCTTTTGCGTCGCGCACATTCGTTTTCAAAGTTCGCGACAGACTTACGAATGTAGGGTAGCTCATGTTCAAAATGTGCGCTTCGCCTTAGCGCTGCGAGCATTTGCTTCAAAAGCTAGCGACCAGGTTAAGGATTCGCATAGCTGAAGTCCCAGGAATGGTATTCTGGCACGCTTTGGGATTATCAGCGCGAAACAGTTACCTTGGTTCGCGGTGTTCAAGTTCCAGAAATGGTGTTCGCGCACGGTTTGGGACTGTCAGGGCGCAACAGTCACGATGATCCGCGGCGTTCAGGTCCCAGGAATGGCATTCTGGCACGATTGAGGACCCTCAGACTTGTAGGGACTTATGCACAGGGGATTGGAGGGAGGGCTTGATGCAACATCGTTGAGGCGTCTGGGGTTTACACTTGTCCTCCTCCTCCTCCTTTTCCGGGAGTGGCTGTAGATTTGCAGTGGGAGATCAAGCTTCGCCGAGCCGTCTCACTCGCCATCCGTCCAGATGGCGCTCTCGGTCAAGTAGCTGATATACAGAACCTGCCAGAAGATCCCGCTGGAGTTGCCGTTCGGACCGTGCCCAGATCAAGGCTGCTGGGACGGTACCCGGCATCTTGCGGCCTACGCCGCCAGCCTCGCCCGGCACAGCCTTGCCACAGAGGCGCGGCAAGGCTTCAACTCGCCGGAGGACCTCACAGATGCGAACGACAGAGGGGAGAAGATCCAGAATCGGTTTGGGGGCGAGTGGCAGCAGAGGGTTTTTGCAGGTTCCGCTGGACTCATGCACAGGTTCACCCGCCTCCAGAAGAGAAGGCATCCCACCATTGGTCAGACTAGCCCTGGGATGTACGGTGCGGGTCCCGTCAATCCCTTCAAGGATGAGACCCTTAAGCTCGGAGGTTTCTGGAAGGCGACTCTGACCTCGCCCGAGGCCTGGATCCCAGAAAGGACGTGTTTCCAGAGGGCCATTGCAGATCATATCAGGTCAACATCGAGGTCGTTCAGTGCGCACACGGCCCAGGCCCATGGCAACAGCTTGCACGTTGGCCAGGTCAGCCTGCTCAGCGCTGCAGTGGATGTGATGACCATCTTTTTGAGGCCATCGAGAGGCTTGGCTTTTCTCGATGCAGATTCTATGGATGCTGTCACTTGTGCTGGCAAAGCCCAAGGGATGCCTCAGACCCATCCTGTTGCTAGCTGTCCCATGTTCGCACTGGGAGCGTCTAAGGCGACCTGAGGCAACAGTAGGTTTGCAAAGGGTCCACAGGCCCTACTGTTTTGTGAGGTTCCAACCTACTTTAAGTACCGAAGTTGGATGGTTTTCACGTGTCGGGCACCGGGAGGAGATACTCGTTCGACATTGTTTCGATACTTTTCTTAGTGCTCGAAATTATGTCTGGGATGTGGTCCTTGGGAACGATGGGAGCAACGTAATACTGGTCCTTCGGGACAGTCTTCAGAGGCCACTGTCTGGCAGCAATGCCTGTTGGTCGAGGAGGCCGCCGCCGAGGGCCAGACCACTGCTGGCTTCCTTTGCGATGGTCAAACATACCCATCGGTCGTCGAAAGTATGTAATTCTGGACTCCCAGATCCCAATCTACTTTAAGCGCCTTCCTACTTCAAGGATCGAGTGGCTTCACCTTTTCCGTCCTCCTTAGGGGGCGGACGGAACCCAACCTATACGCAACGCCTTCATACTTAATAGTTCTACCTACCTTTTCCGACCGATTGGTATTATGAGGTTTTCCGTTGGGTTGGTTTGCGTGTTCGGGCCGAATATCGGGGCACCAGAGTCCTCGCCAAGACCCTTTGAATATCGTGGCAGAGCCCTGGGATCCTCAGACGTGGAGCCCATCATAGCCCTCATTCCTCAGTTCGCGGTGTCGGGGCTCCCTGCGGGTGCTATGTTTAACGATGTTTTCCCAACATGTACGTAACATTTGAGCTTGACCAACTCGCGATTCGAAACCCGCACGTTACCTTGGGCCCGTACATAAATGATGACACCGTGTTGATGTCAGTTGATGAGGGCACTGTCTTCGAGACCATAGCGAAGGCAGCTTCTGACTTAAGATGGATGCTCGAGCGGCGGCGTGGTGCTTTTTTTGCGCTGAGGATACAGACCACCACTTTTGAGACTTCCCAGTAAAATGCGAACCGCTTGGCCAAGAGTTTGGCGCCATGCACTCTATCGGCGGCGAGCAACACCGCCACCTCCCTAGGCTGCGACCTGGCTCCAGGACAGCGGAGGGCTTGCGAAGGCGGAAGGAACAGGAGGAGTGAACGGTGCAAGGCGATGCAGTTGAGACACGGTTTCCTGAAATACGAAGTTCCCAAGGGGCCGCTCCAGGATGAACAAGGTTTACGGTTCGGAAACAAGCTAGTTGCTGGATACGGTGCCATGGTCCCGGGTATTTCTCATCATCAGATTGGTGAGCTTCGTAGTCTTATGTTGTCAGGTTTCACGCCCGCACGTCGAGGTGCATCGCCCACGGCGAAAACGTATATGCATGGCGACCCCACCTGGCCTCCGGCGACGGCAACAGCAAGGCAGTGGTCGACGAGCTTGTGGCGCAGCTTGACAGCACTCAGCACGTCTCCCCTCAGCTTCAGGGACCGCACTCGGGTCTGAAGGAACCTAGCCCCCCTGGGCCCGAGGCCTTGGCCAGTGTATGCTTCTGAGTCTTGGGAGAGAAGGTTGGAAAGCAAGGATGTTTCATATGTGGCAGGGTGATCTAGGCAACCCTGTTGATTTAATGTACACTTCCCTTGCCATGGCTTCCAACCTTTCGCGCGCGGGAGTGCCGCGATCCCACCGGAGAAGATTGGCTGCAAACCCCCGTGGTTTGAAGGTGAACGCGTTTCGATTTCACCCTCTCCGCTTCCTCCTCCGCTCGAAGCGAATCTCGCCGCGAGCTAAGGATTGGAATTGTATTTCTTTTTCGGAAGGATGTTGGACAGCTGATCGGCCGCATGCGTCAGGATATGTCTCGGATGGCAAGTGTCCCCTCTGTGACGCCCCAGACTCCCTTTATCGCCGCCAGTCGTTGTGCGACCACCCTGCCCGCAGTGAAGCTGTCGAGGCAGAGGTGAGAACAGCAGTTCAAGAGAGCTTAGATGCTTGGCACATTTTCTGGTCTCAATTGATGATGGCCCAGCCCTCGAGGGACTCCTTCGCCCCTCCCACGTCGGCGTCAGACCCCTTCTCCTAGATCGCGACGGTCAGCAGCTTTCCCTCCAGGAGCTTCTGGCTAGGAGTGAGGGTTCCGATATCTGTATTGATGAGTTTGCTGCGCAGTATGTGGTGAAGGATATCAACCGTGCTGCTTTGGCTGAAGCCCCCGCTCGACTGGCACGAGTGGGAAGAGTTTTTGAGGATGAGGTTTTTTGGCGTAGCAAACGTTTCCATGTTGCGCTTGACCTCGGGACCCGACCCACGAGTGGATGTGCGGGTCTGTCTACGGCCCTTAGGCGCTTAGAAGGTGCCGAGAGCGAAAGGTTTCACAAGCTGGGTTTGGCGGTCCTCGGTCTGTCCAAGAGACCTTGCTGCGTCTGCGGAGCTTATTATCAGACTGCGCCACATGTTCGGCCAGAATTGCGTTCGGATGCTCAGCTCCTCAGGTGAGTTTGCGCTGAGGCGCATACGACATGGCCACCACCCTCACTGCAGCAAGAATCGTGAGGGTGTCTGTGCTGTTGCAACCGGTCGAGCGCCTTCAAGGACGTTGCTCTTGGCCCCTCTAGCATCTGCGACCACCTCTGAAGGGCGACTGATTGACAATGATCGGTTGCCTGCATTGGCGGGGCGTGTGAGAGCTCGCGAGGAGGCCCCCAGGTGTTAGACGATTCGACGTGGATGTTGTGCCTCGGGTCTTTGCCTCCTCCTCCTCCTCCTCCTCCTCCTCCTTCTCCTCCTCCTCCTCCTCCATCATCTTCATCCTCCTGCTGCTTTGCATTCAACCTCCTCCTCATTCTCCTCTTCCCCCCGCATCATCATCATCATCATCATCATCATCATCATCATCATCATCATCATCATCATCATCATCATCATCATCATCATCTTCATCATCAGCATCATCATCATCATCATCGCCATCATGATCATCATAATCATCATCATCGTCATCATCATCGTCATCATCATCATCACCATCACCACCACCATCACCATCATCAGCAGCAGCATCATCATCACCATCAACATCATCAACATCATCGTCATCATCCTCATCCGCATCCTCAACCTTCTCTTCCTCGTCCTTCTCTCGTCGGCCCCCCTCTCACCCCAGGCCGCTTACCCCCGCGGGGGGGGCCCGGCCGTCTGAGCCAGAGGCAGAGGAAGCCGCACGTCCCCCCCACGGGCACGCCCCCCCTCGGCCTCCCCAGCCCGCGCCGGGAGGGCAGGCGGCGCGGCGGTCGCGCTGGGCGGCTTCGGCCTGGCCGGCAGCTCGGGGGGGCCCGATCTCGACGAGGCGGTTGCCGCGATGCCAGGGCAGGGTTAAGCCGGGCCTGTCCCTCTACAGGAGGAACATTCAGAAATAGTGAAAAATAGAGTGGGGATTTTCGATTATTTGTTAACCATTCCTGATTCGTTTTTGATTTTGTACCAACCATCCTTCGGTGCTGGGTTCTCGTTTTGTAGAGACGGTCCCCGCGTTCACTCCTCCCGCTGCCCCCTCCCCCCTCATCTCCCGTACGAGCATCTCCTCCCATCCCTGCCTCTGTTCTCCGCATGTCCATTTCGGCAGACCCCTCACACGGCTCGTAGCCCCATAGGGAGCTCCACCGAAGACCCCAGTGGCAGGGTCCGCATGGCACCGCCGCCACATTTCGGTTGACCTCTCACACGGTCCGTGGCCCCATAGGGAGCTCCACCGAAGGCCCCAGTGACAGAGTCCGCATGGCACAGCCGCCCCCTTCCGGCACACCCCTCGCGCGGTTCGTGGCCCCATAAGGAGCTCCGCCGAAGGCCCCAGTGACAGGGTCCGCATGGCACCGCCGCCCCATTTCGGCACACCCCTCACACGGTTCGTGGCCCCATAGGGAGCTCCCCCGAAGGCCCCAGTGGCCGGGTCCGCATGGCATTGCCGCTCCCATTTCGGCACACCCTTCACACGGTTCGTGGCCCCATAAGGAGCTCCACCGAAGGCCCCAGTGGCAGGGTCCGCATGGCACCGCCGCCCCATTTCGGCACACCTCTCGCACGGTTCGTGGCCACATAGGGAGCTCCACCGAAGGCCCCAGTGGCAGGGTCCGCATGGCACCGCCGCTTCATTTCAGCACACCATTCACACGGTTCGTGGCCCCATAGGAAGTTCCACCGAAGGCCCCAGTGGCAGGGTCCGCATTTTGCCGCCGCACCATTTCGGCACACCCTTCGCGCGGCCCGTGGCCCCATAGGGAGCTCCACCGAAGGCCCCAGTGGCAGGGTCAGCATGGCACGCGGCCCCATTGCGGCAGACCCTTCACACGGTCCGTGGCCCCATAGGGAGCTCCACCGAAGTCCTGCGCCGCCGCACAATTTCAGCTTACACCTCACACGGTTCGGGGCCCCATAGGGAGCTCCACCGAAGGCCCCAGTGGCAGGGTCCGCATGGCACCGCCGCCCATTTCGGCACACCCTTCACACGGTCGTGGGCGTCATAGGGAGCTCCACCGAAGGCCCAGTGGCAGGGTCCGCATGGCATTGCCGCCCACATTGCGGCAAACCCCTCACACGATTCGTGGCCCCATAGGGAGCTCCACCGAAGCCCCAAGTGGCAGGGTCCGCATGGCACCGCCGCCCCATTTCGGCACACCTTTCATACGGTTCAAGGCCCCATAGGGAGCTCCACCGAAAGCCCCAGTGGCAGGATCCGCATGGCGCCGCCGCCCATTTCGGCAGACCCGTCACGGTTCGTGGCCCCATCGGAGATCCACCGAAGGCGCCAAAGGCTCAAGTGGCAGGATCCGCATGGCGCCGCCGCTCCATTTCGGCACACCCTTCACACGGTTCGTGGCCCCATAGGGAGCTCCACCGAAGGCCCCAGTCCGTATGTCCCCGCCGCTTCATTTCGGCACACCATTCACACGTTTCGTGGCCCCATAGGGAGCTCCACCGAAGGCCCCAGTGCCACCGTCCACACGCGTTCCCCCCACCCACTTCGGCACACCCCTCACACTATTCGTGGCCTCATAGGGAGCTCCACCGAAGATGGTATTCCCCTTTGCATTTTTCACAGCTGCATATGGTTGGGTCCTTTGCCAGGCTAAGTTTGATTTTTGTCCTCAAAAATCTGCTTGTGGGGGGACATGCCCGACCGAAGGGCAGGGAGCGCCGCGCACAGCTTTGCCCTTCCCTCTGTGGCGTTCACGACAGACGGGCAGCGCAGGCCAGCCCCGACTGAGGGAATTGCGTTGGTCAAGGAAGAAGCAGCGATACCAACATGATACCAGGCTGCTTGCTGCACGTCCCGCCACCGTGCCAGCCCAGCATATTGGGCGGCGGTTGATCGAGGGGGCGCAGGAGGCCGTCACGTGCGACACTTCGTGCCCCCAGGCTTGGGAGAGTCATGATAAGGATGATGGTGATGATGGGAATGATGACGATATGGTGATGATGATGTTGATGACGATGATGCTGATGATGATGATGACTATGGTAATGGTAATGGTGATGGTGTTGGTGCTGGTGTTGGTGATGATGATGATGATGATGATGATGATGATGATGATGGTGGTGATGATGATGATGATGACGATGATGATGATGATGGTGCTGATGATGATGATGATGATGATGATGATGATGATGATGATGATGATGATGATGGTGGGGATGATGATGCTGTTGATGATGATGGTTATGATTATGATAATGAAGATGGTGATGATGTTGATGATGTTGGTGATGATGATGATAATGAAGATGGTGATGATGTTGATGATGATAATGATTATGATGATGATGATGATGATGTGATGATAATGATGGTGATGATGTTGATGATGATGATGATACTGATGAGGAGGTAGAGGAGGAGAAGGAGAAAGATGAGGATGATGATGCTGGTGGTGTTGATCATAATGATGTTGGTGCTGATGACGATGATGAACGATGCTCCGTGGTGATGAGCATGACGATCATGATGGTGATGGTGCTGATGATGGTGCTGATGATGTTGATGATAATGGTGATGACGATGACGATGATGATGATGATGATGATGATGATGATGATGGTGATGATGATGATGATGCTGATGATAATGGTTATGATGAAACTCGTTTGGACATTGCTGGGGCTGTCTTGGCCTCCTGTGAGGCAGTTGTGGGGGTCCCTCGGGGCCTTCTTGGGCCGTCTTGGGGCCCGCTTGACCATGTGGTGGGTGTCGAGGGGCCGTCTTGGGCCGTCCAACGGCCTTCAACGCTGTCTCGGGTCCCACGGGGGGCCTCTTGGGCCGTGTTGAGACCGTATTGGATGCTTCTTGGGTCATCGTGGAGTCTTCGTGGGCCGTCTTGAGCTGACGGCAGCCCGAAAAAGCGAGAATGCGAAAATAGTTCAAAAACCTTTCGGGGAAACAATGTTTTGGGCTTCTTCGGACCCTGCTGGAGGTCCTCTCGTGGCCCGTTTGGGCCTTCTAGGAAGCATCTTGTGCCGTCCTGATGCAATGTCCGGCCGCCTTGGGGCCATCTTGGACAGTATTCGAGGCACGTTGGCCATCTTGGTGTCTTTGGTTGCTTGCACAGGCCGTCTTGGAAGCTCGGGACGCAGATCCATTGTTCCCAACCATCCTGTGGTGTTGGGTCCTCGTTTTGAAGAGACGTCGCCCCGCGTTCCTCCTTCCTTCCTCCTCCTCCCCTTCCTCCCCCCTCCTCCCCCTCCCACACCAATTCTGGCACACCCCTCACACGTTTCGTGGCCCCATAGGGAGCTCCACCGAAGGCCCCAGTGGCTGCGCCCGCATGCGGTTCCACCCCCCATTCTGGCACACCCCTCACACGTTTCGTGGCCCCATAGGGAGCTCCACCGAAGCCCCATTGGATGCGCCCGCATGCGGTTCCACCCCCCGTTCTGGCACACCCCTCACACGTTTCGTGGCCCCATAGGGAGCTCCACCGAAGGCCCCAGTGGCTGCGCCCGCATGCGGTTCCACCCCCCATTCTGGCACACCCCTCACACGTTTCGTGGCCCCATAGGGAGCTCCACCGAAGGCCCCAGTGGCTGCGCCCGCATGCGGTTCCACCCCCCATTCTGGCACACCCCTCACACGTTTCGTGGCCCCATAGGGAGCTCCACCGAAGGCCCCAGTGGCTGCGCCCGCATGCGGTTCCACCCCCCATTCTGGCACACCCCTCACACGTTTCGTGGCCCCATAGGGAGCTCCACCGAAGGCCCCAGTGGCTGCGCCCGCATGCGGTTCCACCCCCCATTCTGGCACACCCCTCACACGTTTCGTGGCCCCATAGGGAGCTCCACCGAAGGCCCCAGTGGCTGCGCCCGCATGCGGTTCCACCCCCCATTCTGGCACACCCCTCACACGTTTCGTGGCCCCATAGGGAGCTCCACCGAAGGCCCCAGTGGCTGCGCCCGCATGCGGTTCCACCCCCCAATTCTGGCACACCCCTCACACGTTTCGTGGCCCCATAGGGAGCTCCACCGAAGGCCCCAGTGGCTGCGCCCGCATGCGGTTCCACCCCCCATTCTGGCACACCCCTCACACGTTTCGTGGCCCCATAGGGAGCTCCACCGAAGGCCCCAGTGGCTGCGCCCGCATGCGGTTCCACCCCCCATTCTGGCACACCCCTCACACGTTTCGTGGCCCCATAGGGAGCTCCACCGAAGGCCCCAGTGGCTGCGCCCGCATGCGGTTCCACCCCCCATTCTGGCACACCCCTCACACGTTTCGTGGCCCCATAGGGAGCTCCACCGAAGGCCCCAGTGGCTGCGCCCGCATGCGGTTCCACCCCCCATTCTGGCACACCCCTCACACGTTTCGTGGCCCCATAGGGAGCTCCACCGAAGGCCCCAGTGGCTGCGCCCGCATGCGGTTCCACCCCCCATTCTGGCACACCCCTCACACGTTTCGTGGCCCCATAGGGAGCTCCACCGAAGGCCCCAGTGGCTGCGCCCGCATGCGGTTCCACCCCCCATTCTGGCACACCCCTCACACGTTTCGTGGCCCCATAGGGAGCTCCACCGAAGGCCCCAGTGGCTGCGCCCGCATGCGGTTCCACCCCCCATTCTGGCACACCCCTCACACGTTTCGTGGCCCCATAGGGAGCTCCACCGAAGGCCCCAGTGGCTGCGCCCGCATGCGGTTCCACCCCCCATTCTGGCACACCCCTCACACGTTCGTGGCCCCATAGGGAGCTCCACCGAAGGCCCCAGTGGCTGCGCCCGCATGCGGTTCCACCCCCCATTCTGGCACACCCCTCACACGTTTCGTGGCCCCATAGGGAGCTCCACCGAAGGCTGCGCCAGTGGCTGCGC